ATATATTGGGACAATAATAATTCTTTTTAACAATTGGTGCTAGAATAATTGAACATCCACCTCCAAAAATAAAATTAAAAAAGACTGCACACAGACTTTACACCTTTCACAAAATTTAGCTCAAAATAGATCCCAGACCTAAATGGTAAATGTAAAACTATACAGCTCCTAAAGGTTATAGGAGAAAATCTGGATGATTGTGGGTTTGGTGATAATTTTATATATATATAAAACACCAAAGGTACAATCCAAGAAAGAAAGAATCAATAAGCTAGATTTCATTAAAATTGGAATTTTCTGTTTTGTAAAAGACATTTTCAAGAGATAGTCTTGGGTCTGGGGCTATGACTCAGTGGTAGAACACTTGCCTAGCATGTGTGAGGCACTGGGTTCAAACCTCAGCACCACATAAAATATAAATAAGTAAAGTTTAAAAAATAAAGAATTGGGGAAAAAACATACTGAGAGAGAGAGAGAGAGAGAGGGAGAGAGAGAGACTTCCACATACTGGAAGAAAGTACTTACAAAAGGCATTTCTAATAAAGGACTATTATCCAAAATATACAAAGAACTCTTAAAGGCTAAGGATGTAACTCAGTGATAGAGTGCTTGCCTAGCCTGTGCAAGGCCTTGGGTTAAATACCCAGTACCATCAAAAACAAACAAACAAAAACCCCACAGAACTCTTAAAGTTCAACATAAAAAAACTGATTTTAAAATGGTCTAAAGACCTTAATAGACACCTAATCAGAAAAGATATACAGAAGCTGGGCCCAGTGGCACATGCCTGTAATCACAGTGACTCGGGAGGCTGAGACAGGAGGATCACAAGTTCAAAGCCAGCCTCACCAAAGTGAAGTGCTAAGCAACTCAGTGAGACCCTTCTCTAGATAAAATATAAAATAGGGCTGGGGATGTGGCTCAGTGGCTGAGTGCCCCTGAGTTCAACCCCCCTCCACCACCAAAAAAAAAGATATACAGATAGCAAATATACATATGAAAAGATGCACCACATTATCTGTCATCAGGGAAATGCAAATCAAAACAAGATAACACTATAAAACTATTATAATAGAGTATTATTCAGCCTTTAAAAAAGTAGGAAATCACGGGCACCTGTAATCCCAGTGGTTCAGGAGGCTGAAGCAGGAGGATCACAAGTTGAAAGCCAGCCTCAGCAACTTAGTGAGCCCTAAGCAATTTAGTGAGACCCTGTCTAAATAAAACATAAGAAGGGCTGGGACTGTTGCTCAGTGGTTAAGCACTCCTGGGTTCAATTTCTGGTACAAAAAATAAAAGAAGGAGGGGGAGGAGGAAATCCTGCCATTTTCAGCCACATGGATGAACCTAGTGACATTTTGCTAAATAAAATAAGCCAGCCACAGGAAAAAAAAAAAATACTACATGATCTCACTTATCTCTGGAATAATTAAAAACAAATTCACAAAAGCAGAAAGTAGAATGATGGTTCCCAGGGGCTCTGGGGGAGAGGAAATGGGGAAATGTTGGTCAAAGGATGCAGAGTTTCAGTTATGTAGGATGAATAAATTCTAGAGATCTCAGGACAGCATGGCAACTATAGTTAATGATACTGTATTTTATACTCACAGTTTGCCCAGAGAGTAGATCTTAAGTCTTCTCACCATGCAAAAAAAAAAAAAAAAAAAAAAATGGTAACTTTGTGAGGTGATGATATTTTAATTAGCTTGACTATAATTATCATTTCATAATGAATATCAAAACATCATGTTTTATACCTTAAACATATTGGCCAAATCCAAAGCATTGACAACACCAAATGCTGGTAGGGATTGGAGGAACAGTAATCCTCATTTGTCCCTGGTGCCACCACTTTGGAAGACATTTTGATGATTTCTTACAAAACTAAACATATTCTTACCAAATGATCCAGCAGTCCAAACCTCTTGGTATTTTCCCACAGGAGTTGAAAAGTTATGCCCACATAAAAAACCTGCAAGTGGATGTTTATAGTGGTTTTATTCATAATTGCCAAAACTTGGAATCAACCAAGATGTCCTTCAGTAGATGAATATTGAATAAATAAACTGTGGTGCATTCACATAATAGACTGTTATTCATTATCAAAAATAGATGAACTGTTAAGCCATGAAAAGATGTGGTGGGGAAACTTAAATGTATGCTATTTAGTGAAAGAAGCCAATCTGTAAAGTCTACATGCTGTATGATTACAACTATATGACTTCCTGGAAAAGGCAAAAAGATCAGCGGTTGTTAGCAGGGGTAGAAGGGATGAATATGCAGAGCACAGGATGTTTAGGGCAATGAAAACACTCTGCATGATATCTATAATAGTGGATGTTCCCTGGGCCCAAGGCAGAGGCTGCTGGAGTCCTGACTAGCTGCATTCAATTGCCCACCTACATTAGAAATAAGAAAAGTAATATAAAAAGGGAAAAACAATAGTCACAGTTGTGCCCAAACTGAAAAGCCAGCAAATCTACCTTTGCAGTCTTATAGGAACAGAAGTATTCATATGTATACTGTGCCAGCCAAAGGATATGTTACAATTCCAGTTCAATCTTTGCTGACATCAGGGCTTTGAGGAAGGGCAGTTTTAGCCTCTGTTCTCATCACAAGACATGGCTTGTAGGAAGCTGGGATGGAGAAAATAGCTTTAGCAGGAAATTGAGAAGAAAAAAATAACTTAGGGCTTCTAATTATAAATGAGCCCCTTTACAGATATATGTCACTATACATTTACCCAAACTCATAGAGTATACATCAAGAGTAAACTCAAATGTAAACTGATGGTGATGTATCAATGTAGGTTCATCAATTATAATAAATATACCCCTCTGCTGGGTGATATTTGATCATGAGGGAGGTTGTGTGTGGGGGGGGGAGGGTTCCTTCTGCTCAATTTTGCTATGAAGCTAAAGCTTCTCTAAAAATATAAAGTGTATTAAAGTAAATAAACATATTTTTGAAGACAGTTTTTTGCAACAAAAAGAAGCAGGCTTGGAAGGTATTACCATCCCAATTTTATGTGTGAGAAGACAGAACCCAGTGAGGTTGCCATTTTCCCAGTGTGCACTGGTATGGCAAAACCAGAGCAAGACTCTTATACCTAACTCAAAGCCCTCTCTCCCATCCCTCCTGGTGCCAATGTGTGGAAGTGGTAGCAGCCTGTAGGAAGTGATTATATTTCAGTTTTGACCACAGTCTGTGCTCATGGGTTGGCAATGTTTCTTAAATAATTGAACAGAAGACCAGCAGTGTTGTGCTCTGGAATAATACCATGCTCCATTTAAATGGGCCATATCTTATCTTCCCAAACTACTGCTGCATATACATACTGGTCAACCCTTGAGCCAAAAGTCATCTTAAGCAATAAACAGCTGTAGGTGAGACATCTTGACAGATTGACTCTCAGTAACAGTGAGATTCTCATTTCAGCTCTCTACAGAATTTAAGAATGCATGTATTATGGTTTGGATAGGAGGTATGCCCCCCTAAAGATCCTGTGTTAATGCAGGAATATTTAGAGATAAAATGATTAGATTATGAGAACTGTAACCTAATCGGCCCATCCTAGTTTGAATGGCCTGAGTGGGTGGTAATTGTAGGCAGGTTGGGCATGGCTGAAGAAGGTGGATCACTGGGGGCTTAACCTGGAAGGGTCCATCTTTCCTGTGGCCCCTTTCCTTTCTCCCTTTGTTTGCTTCCTGGCTGTCATGGACTGAGCAGCTTTCTTCTGCCATGATGTTCTGTTCATTTGGACCCAGAGCAATGGGGTCAGCCAACCATGGACTGAACCTCCGAAACCATGAATCAAGATAAACTTTTCCTCCTCTTGGTTGTTCTTGTCAGATATTTTGGTCCCAGAGACAAAAAGCTGACTGATGTGGCAACCAAACTGAATATTTTATCATCAGTAATAAGTGTAAAAGGGCTTGAATTAGAAACAGAGCAATTTATTGTTGAGTGCTTTTTGTTTATCTGTCTACTGTTATGTGTTGAGGGGCATCAAAAGAGAATATCAAACATAGTGGATCTTGACTCCCCAGGAGTTTATAGGCCAATCGAGGAAAGAAAACAAACCACAAAAGATTCTGCATATTCATACATACTAAGATGGAATTGGGAAGGTGTTTGAAACGAACCCTGAGAAAAGAATTTGAGTCTATGTGTTTTGAAGAGAAGGTTTAAAAAGATAAGAGAAAGAAAACAAGGCAGGGAATGGAAAACAGCCAATAAAGAAAACATTATTAAGCCAGGTGCAGTAGCTCATGCCTGTAATCCCAGCAGCTCCGGAGGCCCGAGGCAGGAGGATCATGAGTTCAAAGCCAGCCTCAGCAAAAGTAAGGCGCTAAGCAACTCAGTAAGACCCTGTCTCTAAATAAAATACAAAATAGGGCTGGGGATGTGACTCAGTGGTTAAGTACCCCAGAGTTCAATCCCCAGTCAAAAAATAAAGAAAGAAAGAAAGCATTATTAGACAAATATCAAATATCACAATGAGTGATTTCGGGTTAATCCTATGAGGAGACATTGGGAAATGGTATCCAACACATGCCTCAGAGTCATTCTCCCCATGGGGTAGGGAAGCTACCCCTTCCAGCTTCTGAGGGCTGCAGTTGGGGGTATTAAGGACTCTCTCAGGGATATTAACTCTCCAGCACTTCTGCCTGCCAGTAATATAGGCAGAGCAGCTTTTTGTAGTTCTGGAAAAAATTCTCAGATATAGTGGGCAGATATTGACAGCTGGAAGTCAGCCTGTGCATGTAAAACAGAAAAGTCCAAAACTGTGGGCAGGGGACTGACAGAGTATCTGCTGCAGTAGGATTCCTGGTGGAGGTGAGACTTGACATTGCTCTTTTGTTGTTGTTGTTTATTTATTTGTTTGTTTCAGTGGTGCTGGGGATTGAACTCTGGGCCTTGGGCCTGCAAGGCAAGCACTCTACCAACTGAGCTATATCCCCAGCCTCCTGACAGTGCTCTTTTTCTTTTCTCCCCAGGCTTCCTCATGACCTTGTCCCTGTTGTCCATTGTGTATGGAGCTTTACGCTGCAACATCCTAGCCATCAAAATCAAGTATGATGAATATGAGGTCAAAGTGAAGCCTCTGGCCTATGTCTGCATCTTTTTCTGGAGGGGCTTTGAGATTGCCACACGAGTCATTGTCCTGGTCCTCTTTACCTCTGTCCTGAAGACCTGGGTGGTGATGATCGTACTCATCAACTTCTTCAGCTTCTTCTTGTACCCCTGGATCATCTTCTGGTGCAGTGGCTCCCCATTCCCCGAAAATATAGAGAAGGCCCTCACCCGGGTGGGTACCACCATCGTGCTGTGCTTCCTCACTTTACTGTATGCTGGCATCAACATGTTCTGCTGGTCAGCTGTACAGCTGAAAATTGATGACCCTGACCTCATTAGCAAGTCCCAGAATTGGTACCGGCTCCTGGTGTACTACATGTTGAGATTCATCGAGAACGCCATCCTCCTGCTCCTGTGGTATCTTTTCAAGACTGACATTTATATGTATGTGTGTGCACCTCTGTTGATTCTGCAGCTGCTCGTTGGGTACTGCACAGCCATTCTCTTCATGCTCGTGTTCTACCAGTTCTTTCACCCTTGCAAAAAGCTCTTCTCCTCCAGTGTTTCTGAAAGCTTCCAGGCATTTCTCAAGTGTTCCTGCTGGAGACGGAGGCAGAAATCCTGTGAGTCCTTAGAAGAGACAGACCTGAGGTCATCCAGAAAACAAGAGGAGATGCCTTCTAGCAGTAAAAGAAGTCCTGAGCCCATTCATATCTTTAGTGCTGAAGAACTGTGCTCTGCTTAAGGGACCCAAGGTCTCTCAGGGCACAGGCATATTGTTTTCTGGGTTGATACCTGTTCTTCATGTAAGCGATGAGCACTGCACAAGGAACCTGGCAGGAAGTTAGCTGTCAACTCCTCATGAGCTGCTGCTCTTTAGATGCTCTTGGGTATGTGGGAACTAGGGGGAGAAGCCAGGGACACTTGGCGCAGAAGGGGAAGCCTAAAGCACGACAGTTTACAGGTGACCATGTTGTGTTTTTGCAGGTCTTTTTGGCCTTTTCACTGACAGAGTACCCCTGAAGTCTGAGTTAGGCTGGTTAGATCCATCAGGTAGAATGAGGAAAGGGGCTTACTTGTTTTCTAGTTTTCTGGATTGTTGGTCTGATAGCCTGATAATTTGTTTCCCCCAAACTTAGTTTTTACCCAAGAGCTGTCCTGATGACCAGAGAAGGTTACTAGGGTTTTGCCATCAGCAACATCATTCCTGTCAGAGCTTACAGGGAGGGTTGTTCAAGTTTGGTTTTTGAATAGATACATGTTCTATTTTCATCTCATTAGGGCTTTTTGTACATAACCAACTATAGCCATATGGCATGCTATCATCTGTAATTGATTCGAGAACCTAGATTTGGAAATTTGATTCCCTAGGATCCATGGCTGCAACATTGCATTCTAAATTTGGTTATGGAAGCCCTAGATTTTTAGGAAAGTCGTGCTCCTTCCATATGTTGAAGAAATTGTGGATCAGGAAGGTTGTTAAAACATCAAAATGATGGAGGCTTATATAAGTAGAATTCCTCCCTTCACAGAATGTTTGAAGATGTGAGTCAGCTTGAAGGCAGGCTTTAACCTCCACAAGGTTCAGTCATGTCGTACAGTTCTGGGAAATTTCTAGTAGAATTTGCTAGGATTCACCTTTTTTAGGAAAGAATTAAATAAAAGTGATAGTTTTCACTCTGGCCTCCCCCTTCCTTGTTTGTCAGGAAACTTTGAGACAAGAGTTACCTCGGTTAACTTAAATTTTTCTAGAAAACCCTGCAGAAATCTCTTGCCCAGTGCAGGTATACAGGGCATTTTAATTTTCATTATTTGAAGGGAAAGGATTTTCCTCACCACCCACCCCTAGATAGTGATTGACTTAAGAAACATTTTCAGTAAATAGAGATGACATGACTAGAAGACTTTTTTGTCCCTCAAGGAATACATTTTGGTTTGGCATAATTGTAAGTTAATTTGAACAAGATCTCCAGTTTTATCATCCTCCACCTTTTATCTTCTATATAATTTCTTCTTTAATCTAGAATTCTCTTGTTTCATTAAAGAGGATTGGCTAGCATGTTCTCAATTGTCTTTTAAAAAAATGCCTAGTGCTAGTGCTATTATTTCTACCTTTTAGCATCTTGATAATAAAATACCTGGAAACGGGAAACCATAAAGATCACACTAATTTAGAGTGAGGATGAAAGTAAGACCTGAGAAATTTACAAAGATAACTCATTTATGGACTCTACTTTACCAGATGGAACAGGAATCCACTTCTCTGACTATATGAATGCACAAGACATACTTATTTGGCCATCCTGATTCTGATAATTTTCCTTTTTAATTTTTTTTGTGTGTGTCAGATATATAAGTAATTTCATACAGATGAAAATGTGATTCAGAAGTCATTTTCCACTACATTCATGGGTTCATGAAACAATAAATATTATTTCACAGGATCCATGTTCTTTAATATTTTACACAATTCTGTATATATTAATTAGATCCTAAACCATAGAGCCTCGATTTTAGTTTTATGAGATACCTTTCCTCATTTGAAATTCTTTTGGTTTATCAATGTTTATTGTTTAATTTTGTAGGAATGCCCATTTTTGTCTATTTTTAGCCAAATAAGAATAAACTCTAGACTGTGTCATACACTTGTCCTATTTTTAATAGGCTAGATAAACTGTGAGCATACATCATCGAAAGAATACATCATACAACATAAACTTCCATGTACTTTCCATGGGCATGGATACACAATCATACTATAGAAAAACACCTTAGAGAATATATAATAACTTCAGGTTAAAGCTGTTAAAACCCTAGAACCCTTTTGTTCTTTAGGGTTCTGTAGATAACAGCAAAGCCATTTCTATGTCATTCCAAGTGTTTCTTTAATATCAAACCAGTTCCTTCTGTTTATCGACACCAGATATTTCCAAGCTTTTTTGTGAGGAAGGCATTCTTGCCTTGAAGCTTTGCAGTGGCTGACGGTGGGAGCAATGGTGCCCCTTTTCCATCAGAAATGCCTTGGGAGTGAGGACTTGGAGCAGCCACCAGCCTGTCACTCAGGAGGCTTGTTCAGAATTAGACAAGGATGGAAAGAAGGGTATTTCTCAGCTTTGGTTTATAACCTTGCCACCAAAACCCTTGCAAAATGTTAAATTTCAAATACATTGCAAATCACTTTAATTTAGATGATGATAAACATTATTTTATTTTGTTTCCAGGGATTAAACCCAGGGACACTTTACCAGAGAGCCACATCCCCAGCCCTTTCTGTTTTATTTTTAGACAGGATCTCACTAAGTCACTTAAGGTCTTGCTAAGTTGCTGAGGGTAGCTTTGAACTTTCAATCCTCCTACCTCAGCCTCCTGAGCCACCAGAGATTACAAGCCCAGTGATTGTAAGCATCTTAAGTGACCCCCAACCCTAACAGTGATAATCAGTTTGTCAGACTCCCAAATTGCAGTTCACACATTTATACAGACAGAAGTTTGGTAACTAAATTAGACATTCTATCAATTTTAACCTTTGATATATAGTTAACCCAACTTCAGGGACATGTATATCTGTTTACTTTAGGGGAGAGAAATTGTTACTTTTTTTTTTTTTTCTGCATGGTAAAAATGTTAAGTCATGTGAATTGAAATTTTTTGGTTTTAAATTATTATCTCAGAAATGGGAAAACTACAGTTTATTCTGGAAAGCTAAGTTCTAAACACACAAAACCAGCAAATTCCCACATGTGTTAGGAGTCAAAATATGTTTTTCAATTATAATTCATATTTCAAAAACTCTCAGTGCGCTGGGCACAGTGGCACATGCCTATAACCCCAGCAACTTGGCAGGCTGAGGCAGGAGGATCACAAGTTCAAAGCTGGCCTCAGCAACTTAGAAAGAACCTGTCTCAAAATAAAAAATAGAAAGGGCTGGGGATGTGGCTCAGTGGTTAAGCACACCTGGGTTCAATCCCTGGTACTAAAAAGAAAAACAAAAAAACCTTTCAGTACTTTGTCTAATTAACCACATGCCATAACCTGTCATGACAGCTGTTCCAGCTGTATCACTATAATTTGGCTGGATGGGGATGAAGTATTTGCTGAAAAATCTATTGAAATAAGATCATCAAACATGTTTAGACTTTCTCTTGCCATTACTGGAGACAGCCTAGTTTAGAGATTGGCATCTCCCTGTTCAGCCCTACAAGTTTCTCACCCACCAAATTAGGATGATAGACTTGTCCAACCTACCTCAGAAGGTTGTGGGAAAGATCAAATTATGTAACAGGTGTGAAAGTGCTTTCAAAATGTTTTTTAAAAGTGCCATGCATAAAGAGTTAATATATTATTCAAATCCATAAGCAGGTTATTGTTATTTTTTTACTGTTTGAAAAGAAGTAAGTAGCATCATCCGCATGAGTGTCTTGAGTGAATATGTGAGCCTTTGGCCTTCTCAGCAGTTGCCCTTTCTCTTACCACCTCTTGCTTCCAAATTTAGCACCCAAACCTGTAGTACTTGGAGGGAAAAGATCCAATGAATCTGAGAAAGAGCTTCTGATGCAAATGAGTTGATCAAATGGTATTGTCTTTCATAGGGGACATCTTTGGCTAATTGTACTTTACAACTAGAATGGCTGATTCAAGGCATTAACTGAATGTGAGTATAATCTTTTCAGCCTTGTAAGTGTGAAAATAAGCATTAAAATTGATTGTTGAATACAGCATTTCCTTGGAAAACACCTTAGAACATTAGTTTTATGGTTATGAGTGTATGTGCCAATACTTCTCAGCCAATGCATTATGGATGTGAGCTTTTGTGGACTGCTTCTCTGAGTCATTGACTCAAATGTTGTATATGTTTCTTCACGTAATAAATTAATTTTTCAATTTCTCCTTGCATTTCATTCTTTATTCAGTCCTTCCTGACTTTTTCTTTCTTTCTTTCTTTTTTTACTTCAGGAAATATTTTAAAAGACAGAAATTTGAAAATGGTTTCGTTGTTATTGGTTGGTTTTGCAATCTCACGTAGACATTCTTTTTGTAGGATGAGAAATTTGAGAGTGCTAGGATTCAGCCTTGTAAAACAGCCGTAGTCCATGAAAACTCCTCTGCTTGTTTAATAAGTATTTACTTTATTTATTAAAGGTGCACTGCTGGGTACCAAGATTCTGCTCAGTTTTATGTTCAGTTGCCATATGTGATGCCAAAAGAGATGCAATATATATATATAATCTTTTAGACTAACATAAATGGTATATTGACCCAGAAATATAAAACACCAAACAAGTGGCTTCATATTAACATAAACAAATAATTGAATTAAATCACTGTCCATGGTTGGAAAAAATATCAGTCATTAAAAGGGATCATTTCCTACACATGGACTGTTAAATAATTCCTTCACTTCTGAAGGTGGCGTAAGACTTAGATATAGATAAGCTTTCTTTTAAAAACAGCTTTATAAAGGTTCATATGCAAAAATTGCATGTATTGAATGTGTACAATTTGATGAGTTTACACATACTTCTTGGTTTTCTCTTTTTGGAAGAACACATGAAGTCTACCCTCTTCACATTTTAAGTTCACAATACAATGTTGTCAACTATATGTCCTATGTTGTACAGCAGATTTATGAAAAATAATGTTTTATTGGTACTCCATGAGTTAATGAATCTTTTTTTTTTTTGTAGTTGTAGATGGACAGTATGCCTTTATTTTATTTTTTATATGGTGCTAAGGATCAAACCCAGTGCTTTGCGCGTGCTAGGCACTGCCACTGAGTACAGCCCCAGCCTAAACTTATTCTTTTATAACTGAACCCTTATAACCTTTGAACAGCTCCCTATTTCCCTTCTCCTCAGCTCCTAGCAACCACTCTTCTACTCTTTAGTTCCATGAGTTGGACTCTTTTAGAACTCTCATATAAGTGGAATCATATAGTATTTGTCCTTGTATGTCTGATTTATTTCTTTAGTATGCAATCTGAATTCATTCATGTTGTCATAAGTGGCAGGATCTCCTTTTGTAGGGCTGGAGAATATTTTATTATATGTTTATATCACATTTTATTCATTCATCTGTCAGTGGACATTTGGATTGTCTTCATATCTTGGCTTTTGTGAATAATGCTACAATGAACTTGTGAGTGCAGATGTCACTTTGAGATCCTGATTTCATTTATTTTGGATACATTCCTAGAAGTGGGATTGCGGATCATATGGTATTTTTGTATTTTTAATTTTTTGAGAAGCCTCCATTATATTTTCCATACTGGGTGCACCATTCTATATCCCTACCAACAATGTACAAGTGTTCCAACTTCTCCACATCCCCACCAACACTTATATCTGGTTTTGGTTTTTATAGTAGCCATCCTAACAAGTGTGAGGTGATATCTTGTGATGTTGATTTGCATTTCCCTGATGATTGGTGATGTTGAGCACCTTTTCACATACTTGTTGACCATATGTATGTTTTCTTTGGAGAAATGTCTATTGGAGTCCTTTGTCCATCTTTTAATTGGGTGGTGGTGGTTGCTCATATATTTTGGAGATTAAACACTTACCAAATACATGGTTTGGAAATATTGTCTCCCATTCAGTAGACTGTCTTTTCATCCTGTCGATTGTTCCCTTTGCTGGGCACAAGTCTTTTCAAAGATATGTCTTGGTGTTAAGAACACAGAATGTCAGCCCAACAAGATGGCACACACCTGAAATCCCAGCTGCTGGGGGAGACTGAGGCAGGAGGATCACAAGTTCAAGGCAGCTGTGGCAACTTAGCCAGATGCTGTCTCAAAATAAAAAAATAAAAACGACTGGGGATGTAAGTCAGTGATAGAGTTCCCCTGAGTTCCATCCCCAGTATCAGGGGGAAAAAATTATATATATATATATATTTTTTTTGTTGTTGTTGTTGTTTTCAAATAAGAAAACTGAATGTCACCAAGTATAGAGTTCAAGTAGGCCGATCTGAAATTACAATTATGTTTGCAAATGTTTTATTTTGAAGTAATTTCAAATGAATAGAAGAACCTCAGGAATAGTGCAGGATTTTTAAAAAAATCTTTTACCCAGATTTATCTATTTTTGTCTCTCACTCTTTCATGATCCATTTGAGATTATGCGGCAGAAATTACACCCTTTTGTGTCCTGGCTTCTTTTTATTTATTTATTTGTTTGTTTGTTTATTTATTTATCGGCATTACACCATTTTATTCCTAAATATTTTCTTGCATTTTTCCTAATAAAGGCTAAAATGGCCACAGAACAATTATCACACAGGGGACTTTGAACATTGATACAATACTAGTATCTAATCTAGAATCCATATTCCATTTAGTATCTGTGCCTTCACAACATTTGTCTTCACAAAGTGTCCACAACCACTTAAATCAACTGAGTGCTCTTCTGTGGGGTTCTCTTTATTTAAAACTATGAGTAAGCTTTAACTTCCCTGTGAATACTTGGAAAAGTACATCAGACTTTGAAAAGTTATTTGAAGAAAATACATACATGCTGTCAGTACTGAAAATAGCTTAAAACCATAGATTTGAAATGTTTATAGGCAAACTGGATAATCCTTTCACAGATATATATATATATATATATATATATATATATAAAATAAATTATATATATATATATACACACACACACACCAGGGATTGAATTCAGGGGAGCTTAACCACTGAGCAATATCCCCAGCCCTTTTTAATATTTTATTTAGAGACAGAGTCTTGCTAAGTTGCTTAGGGCCTCACTAAGTTGCTGAGGCTGGTTTTGAACTTGCAATCCTCTTGCCTCAGCCTTCTGCGTCACTGAGATTACAGGTGGGTGCCACTGTTCCTGGCCACAACTACCATTTTAGGCTTCATGTATTTGCCACTGAATATATGAGCCCACTGTGTCAGCTCTGTAAAACGATGTTTTGTCCCAAATTTATAAATATTCGGAATTTGGTGAGCGAAGTAGATACTATTCTGCTATGACCATATTTCTCTGAGTGTCCCCCTCTCAGGAGAGTATATTTTCTTTTTAAAATATTTTAATTGATACCTAAGAATTATGCATATTTATGGGGTACTGTATTATGTTTCAATATATGTGTACACAGTGTTATGTTCAAATCAGGGTAAACATGTCTCCTCAAACATTTATCCTTTGTGGTAAAAGCATTCAAAACCCTTTCTTATAGCTTTTAAAAAATATATAGTACATTATCATCATCCATAGTTACCCTACTGTTCAGTAGAATACCAGAACTTATTTCTCCTACCTAACTATAACTCCAGGAGATTCTGTTTTCTATGAACATCTTTTCAACTGAAAAAGAACTCAGAAATGTCAATTATATGTTGTAATTAAATGAATGACTTTTGGGTGGGGAGGGGTACTGGGTATTGAACTGAGGTTGATCTCCTGCTGGTGTTGCTGTTTTATTTTTTATTTTGAGATAGCTAATTATTGCTGAGGCTGATCTTGAACTTGGGATTCTCCTGCCTCAGCTTTTCAAGTCACTGGAATTACAGGCATGTGCCACCATACCAGGCAAACGAATAACATTTTCTCTTTTTCAGGGGAAGGCACTTCCTAGCAGCCGGGATTTGGATAGAACTGGAAATTTAGAAACCCCCAATCCCTTCTTCCCTAGTTCACAATAAGCCCTGGTAGCCTAGGCCCTAGTGTGCTAAGATGGTGAGTTCACTGCAGAAGCATGCTCTAGGGAATGCCTTCACCTCCTGTTACCTTCTTGGCATGGTTGTTTCTCTGGAAATTACTAGACCTAAGAGACTAAACTGGTTTAAGCAAGTTTTGGAACCAAGAGCATCTTCAAGGAGCATACAGTAGCATGTGACAGCATCTCTCTCTTGCAGCAGATAATCAGAAAATTTTCCACCCAGACTGTGTTGTGGCAACTCATCTCTGTGAGGGACTTGCCGGGGTTTGCCTCCTCTCAAGGAGGATCAATTCATCCAGATTGATTGGGAGATTCTGCCTGTGCTTTTGCTCTCTGCCACCCTCCCATCCTGAATTAATTTTCTCTCTGAATGATGAGTTCCTGATTGAAACCTGATTAGCGTGCTTCCTAGAGCCCTGGAAATACCATCCTCCTTAAACATCTGAATTATGCATCCTGGTTTAATTTCTTATCAGTTTGCTTCCGATCTTAATTACCTAAACTCTACAGTTAATGAGTCAAATTTTCAGGAGCGATAGCACTCAAGAAAGAAAACAGGATTTCCAAGTTCTATTTTGGAGTGCAGCTGCCAGACCATGACCACCAACAGCCCAGCAGAGCCGAGAAGGGCTCCCTGCTGTCACCTCCTAACAAAAGAACCTTCCTAAGTGGAGTAGCAGAATTGTTTAGAACAATGATGCTCAGCTGTAGGGCTTCAGGGCTCCAAGCAGTGCAAAGATACTGTCATCCTCCCCAGTAACTAGAAATGTCTGGCACATACTTGAGCAATTATTTTTCTAGCTAGTGGGAATGCTGTTGTAATACGACAGGACCCCTGAAAACTGTCACTCTTGTCAAAGTAACTTTGTCATTATCCTCCCAGCCCCCACCACGAGACAATATTAAAAATTGAAAAGTCAACCACTATCATGTAGGGGGTAACCTTAAAGATGTTCTTTGCAACTGAAACTCTGGGAAACTACTCCCCAGGTTTTTCCTCTGCTGGAATAGTTTCTCCTCTGTACTTCCGGTTATACTCTTCTTGAACAAATTACTTGGCTTCTCTCATTTCCAGCTTGATTCAAGAAATGAGAAGAGATTTGTGTTTTAAAAGTGGATGGTGAATGCGCACCAGGGTCTTGGAGCTGCATTTTACAGTACACGTGGTTAAAAGTGGCTTACAGGATAGAATTGTTCTTTAACCTAACAAGA